AGGAAATTTTTTTTAGAACCCAAGCCCGACTTTAGCTTCATTTTCAGATTCAGTCCAAAGACCGATAAATATAAAATTGTATTTTCATCTAACTCCATTCCCGATATTGCAACTGATCTAATTCATTTGAGATAATGCATTAGCGTTAATGCATCCTTGATAATGAATTCGCTCTAATATTTTCGCGGTAATGCATTCGCGGTAAAGCATTTGCTGCAGTGCATGCACGACAATGAATTCGCGGTAATACGCGATAATGCATTCGCTATACTACATTCGCGATAAAACTTTCGCGGTATTACATTCAAGTTAATTTATTCGCTATAGTATTTCGTTGTATTATATTCGCGTAGATGCTAGCGATAATCGTCATTCACGAAATGAATTTGCTATAATAACTTTTCCAAATATAAACGTTTATTAAATTTTTAAAATTATTTGAGAAGTTATGTGACCCCCTCCCCCCCCCCCCCTCGTCCAGTCTCCCCTATATTTATTATATATAAAGATTTGATTATCTTGAATAGATCAAGCATTACTGTCATATCCTTATCTTATTATTTTAAATCAAATATTAAATTTCATAGATGTTCCAAAGAAATCTTATAACTCTAATGCACAATTTAATACCTCCGAAAAATTTTTATTTTTCTTTTATATTGGAACCATGAGCAGTTGGAAGGAAATATTTGAAATAAGTAAATGGCCTGGCTGGCACTAGACAGTACATGCCTCAAAGGAAGTGGCTCTCACGGTAGAGGTATGACGCAATAACTTCATAGAATAGCAGGGGGGTAGGGCTGCCTGAATCAATAGCATAATGACCATTTAGGGTACCCCAATTTGTTTTATTATAAATTATATTCTAATTTATATAAGTATTTGTGGAATTGTTCGCAGACTATCAGGAGACATTTTTATATATTTGGTTATGTACAGTGTTGTTAAGATACTTTTCAAATGGTTATAAATACAGATACATAGTCTAAAAAAGGAATCTAGATACAAATACAACTCTAAAAACGTATCTGGATAGAGTATAATTTTTATTATATTTATGTAAGGTGTGCATAATGCTAAATTTAGGATTCTATTGTTAAAATTCAAATTTCAAAGTGAACTAAAAAATATATTAAGCTGATATCACATCTATATACAAATATATAATTAAAATATGGATTGTCAGGATAATAAAACCCAGCGAGAGCAGTTTGGGACTACAAATTAATCCAGACGAGAGTGAATATTGTCCCCTTGGGATCATCGACCTTAACCACCATTTTATGTTCAATCATACACAATTGATCTTTTTGATACATCTGGGACTCCAGCAGGTAAAAATAAGTCATTCATCAAGTTCCTTGCCGACATTTCACGGGAGATATCTCTCATGCACGTACAATATCGCATCCTGCTGCTTACCAAGCTTTCTTTCTATTGAAATACCTTCTAATTCCGAAGATTTTATATAATTTCCGCTACTCGCGTCCAATATGATATATTAAATTCTTCACAGAAATATGCTCATTCTTAAATTTGTGTATCTATCTGGGCTACAGGTTACCTTACCAACCAAATCCCACGGCATTGGCAAAAAGGTCATCCTCGTTACTTTCCATTAGCCCGTTCCTATCCTCTCGCCTATCATACACATACAAAACATCCTAATCCCTTGATTTTGCAGGTAATCGATCTCTGGAAATCTCTTTCATTAATCGATCCTCCTTCATCAGCACGATAGAAGGACTGGGATAACCTTAAATTTGGCAACTCCATTACATACCTTAAATCGAGGCGTCAACCCGGGGCATCTACTCTTATCTATTAACGCATATATTAGCGGCTACTAATTTCTCGAAGCATTTCCATCAAGTAATTTTGACTTGCTAAACGATGGATGAGCTACATCAGACCATTGATCTTAGATTTTTATTATTTTTAATTTATGAATTTAATACGTTGTTTTAAATTGGTTGCATTATGAAATAAATGGTGATGTGATGTCAATTCAGCGAAATTTTTTTCGCGAAACTTTTCGAAAATCCCCATTAGCGAATAATATTCCGTGAAGACAGTATTGCGAAACCTTTAAAGCGAAAGCATTACAGCAAAACTTTTATCACGAAGTCATTATCGCGAAACCCAAATCGCGAAGAGCGAAAACTATTTCGCGAAACATATATCACGAGGTCAATGTCGCTATAACTGCTAATAATTACTATTTTATTTTGAAACTTTTATTTGCATTATTAATTGAATATTATTTAAAAAAAAATAGGTACAAGATTGATTCAATGATAGTTTTTAATTTTATTTTAACCTTAATAAATCTATGTAATAATTAATGAACTTAGATTTGGATTTTAAAATTTATTGGAATATAATTTTTTTACGATCCTGTCCTATGTTTTTCCTTGAAGTCTTATTTTATAAGAATCATACACAAGGAACTTCAGCTTTATTAATATATTAATGATTGAGTTCTTTCTTTTAACCTTGATCCTATGGGCGAAATTGATATCTTGAGTACGTCAATATGTATGAGTACTTAATATTTATAAATTCATCAATTAGTATTGCCAGTCACTAACCAAGAACAAAGTTATAAGCTAAATAAAGAATATAACATTACTCATTACTGTCTTTGTCGAATACATCTAATAAGAGATTTCCCCAATTCAAAATATTAGTGCCAAACTTTGGTAAGCACTTTCTGAAGCTTAAGCAAATATGTAATGCTTATCACAATACTTGTGGGTAAGTGCTTAAACATATATTATTTTTTCCCCTAAATTACTCAGAATTAAAACTACGTAAAGTAATATTTAATGAATTCCCAAAATATGATTTTGCTAAGTAAAAATTTTAATTTTCTCAGAAAATACAATATATCGCTGAGAAATCTTTACTATTTTTTTTTTACTTTTAAGTGCATAAGCATGATTTTTTTAGTTTTAGAATTAATTTCTAATATCTTCTAGTTTATGTAATAAAGTGGTGGGAGTTAAACATTTTTCTAAAAAAATATTTAGGCAAGGGTATCATGGAAGCTAATAAAATTATTTTGAGTGTTATTAAAATAACCCATCACTCTATCTAGGCCCTTGGGTTAAGGTTTGGAGAGGTTTAAAATTTTTTTACAAGAAATATCCGGCAAAGACATCAGATGAAAGCAAATAAAAATATTTTATGAATGCTATTATCCCTCTAGGTTCTTTGATATAGCTCATTTATAGGGGTGTATCAGGATATATTTTTATATATTTGGTTATGTAAATTAGGGAGAATTGCGCGAAAGATTAATATTAAAAATACGATGTTTGGTTACATTAAGAAATAATGGTGATGTGATTTATTACAAAGGCATATTAATTTTATATTTAATTTTAGGCGTAAATTAATTAACTATTTGGGTTTTGCAGCTTATTAAATAATCTACAAGTTCAAACATCTTTTATTACAATGAATTTAATGAAAACTAAACACAAGTATGAAGCTGAGCCATGGGCTAAATTAATTTTTTGTATATACTTGTAAATAATTTTATGTTATAAAATATGTTTTAAAGATATATAACAAGAACAAACAAACAATTCAATTACTAAAATCTGTCAGGGGTTCAAAACAATTAGAGGCAACATGCCCAGATTTACCAACCCCCCTAAGAGACTACTGCCTTGCGTGACTCTGAAAGATATCAGAGGCAAATGACATTTACCCCTCTAGGTAAACAGTGCAATCTGTAAAAAAATACTTTAAAGATTATTGATAAAATATTTTTAATGAAGAGAGAAGTAGTAACGACAAATATTAGTAAAGTTTAAAATCATGACCATTTCTACGAACCAATTAGTAACACAGGATAATAATTTTAACTTTATTTAAGCTATAAAATAGAAGTTTTATGTTACATTAAGCTGTGGCTACGCAACTAGCGGAACGTTTTGGTATTATGGCTCAAATAGATTTTTATATTACTCATATAAAAAAATATCAGAGCTTTTTCCCTTTAAGTTTAACTTTAGCTCAAATAAATTAAATTTTGAACAATTTACAAGATGTCCAAATCCAATGATGTCACATGCATATAATTGTAAATTTATTATAATGATATTTATATATTATTTAGTTTCTTATGTAAATGTGAAAACAATACCGAAAATTGAACTAACCATTACCTTGCGGTTGCGTATACTGTATGATTTATATGGATTTGGGAATTTATAATTTATATAAATACTTCATCCCGGTGAAGAGTAAGATAAATTAGTCGAAACTAGACGAAAAATACAGCTGTTTAATTTTATGAGGGTGGTGGGGGGGGGTCATAAGATACCCTGTTATTGGGGAAATCAGAGTCATGAGCCCATGGAGGGATAAAAACACTGCTTAAGGCTACACTGAGATCCCCTCTAATAAAATATTAAAATATGATATATGACTGAATCCTTTAAAGTAATGGGGGGGGGCATATTAAGTTGTAATCTTAGAGAAACTTTTAATTTATTAAAACAAATATACATAAAACGAATTATTCATATTCAATCCGTATTTTACGAATGCGAATAATACTTCGAATCGAATAGCAATAAAGAAAAGAATATATTCGTCAAATAGTATTTTTTTTAAGTTTAATAAAATTTTATACTTGTAAAAATATTTTAAATAATTCGAACTATTAATTTAGTATTTCTGTAGATATACAACTAAATTTTGTATGTCAAAAATATTCATTTATTTTTTTTTACCTCATAATAATTTTTTTTTGAATAAGTGGACAAAGCAAAATTTTGAAATTCTAGATATAAAATAAAAACAAAATAGGGTTTCCTTATTGAGGACTTTTTAAAATTTTTATATGCTTATCAATGTATATCACAATTTTTTTACTAATAATGTTAAAAAAAAGGTTCTTAAATTCTAATCGTTTCAATCTTGTAACGGGTTGAGTTACATTATACTTTTTAAAAGTAACTGGCTAACTTTTTAAAATTATAATATATAGTATAATTTATTTTATCAAAAGATAATTAAATATCACATAATCATGAGTGAATGTTTGTATTATATTGCTTCTTTAATTTAAATAAATTAAACAAAAATTTTACAAAATTGTTATCACACAATAATTAAATATTAAATACAATATACTATATCAAGTGATTGATAATAATTTTTCAAGAGAGGGCGTTCTTTCGTAGATAAATTTGTTAGTCGGGCTAGGGTATTGAATAGATCCCGATCTATCGGTTCTGGTTTGAAGCAGGGGTGAATAAGAGCCTTTCCTTATTTGCCTCGAATACACTATGTCAGCTGAACCATCGTGCTTTGAATAGCTGACAGAATGGAAATGAGGAAATGTTGGATATAATAATGAATTAATAGGAGTAGATACTGTATCTATAGTAATGACAGGAACATCAATCTTGGTACAAGCAGGATTATCATTATAAATTTTACTCGAATATAATTTTGACCTATTCAAAATGTCGTCATCACCTGATTTCTCCATTAATTTAGATTCAATAGTCGTGTCTGATAAAGATTTTGCTTCGAATAGATGAACATTAGAGTCTGTTTGATTTTCCGAAGAAATATTTGCTGATGTTACTATAAAGTAACCATCTTGTTTAGAAGAGGTTCCTAAAATTTGTTCTGTAGTATTTTCCTCGGTTCCTGTTTTGGGATGGGGTGATTGATTATGCTTAAATTCTGATAAAATTGGAGAGAGCGTCCTAATTTTAGGAGTGTTGTTGTAAAGCGCCACGTTATAGGGTATTAATGATAACCTTTTTTTGAAAGATGTCAATTCTGGTTGCCTTTTTAAAATACTTTCTTCATCTTCTTGTCTGTACATTCTTCTATCTAAAACCGATGAAGCATACTCATTACTTTGTTGAGTATCTTGTTGATCGTAAGACGATTTTAGCGATGAAGGAAGAGCGAATGAGGTAGAACGATATTGCCTACGATTAGGAGGGAAGACATCGCAAACCGCTAATTGATGCTGTAAAGAAAGTCTATTATTGGGTTGTGAAGATTGCACTGGTATAAATTGATAAATCTTGTTCAAGTCACTAAGAGATTTGAGATCCTTCATTTCACGACTATAGTCAATGGACTCATCATCTTCGGGACAAATTTCTTCGATATTAGGAGAGTAGGATAGTATGGGGTAATTGATTGTGGAATTCAAATTTTTAAGACTATTAATTTCGGGAAGTTTTGATGATGTTATACCGATTCTTTCATTACTATTAATAGTAGATCCCCACATGCTGTTAGGATTTTGGGTTGTGTTTAAGTTTAATATTTGTGACATCTTTATTTGATATATAAAAAGATTTAAAAAAGTGTAATATAATATACACTATGTATAAAATGTATTTTTATGATAATTGGAATAATAAATCAGAAAATAACTTTTAAATTAAAAGATCTAATTAAAAATGTAACGTTTGTATTATACGTATATATAGAGAGTAATAATTTCTCTAATATAATATTTTATATTTTTTAAAAGGCAATAAAAAAAAATTTATCAATAAAAGTAATGAATTTTATATTGACGGTAACATTTTACTATTTAGAATATTATTTTTAAAAAAAAGTATTTCATTAATAATCAATTTATAATGGTTTTGACTAATAAACAATCTTTTTAATTCAGGTTTTAGTCGTATATTGTGAGCCACTTTATATATTTTTTTATTTTACAAACAGATAGAATAATTTTCGGGTTATTTAAGCCAGAGAGAGAAAAATCGATTCAACAAATAAGTGTAAATTAAAATTATAACAAATATTGTTTAACCTTTTTTTTCTTAACATTAACATATTGATTTTTTTTTAAAAAAATAAATCTCAAATTTTTGGCTTTTATTTTTTTTTCGGCGCCTGTTTCATAATTTTGGCTAAATAAGCCTAAAAATTAGAAAAAGGAAAACTATAAGTATCATTTTACGAGTTTTTTTTACAGGATTCATTCATCACTACATGATAAAAAAAATGTCAGTTAGTTTATTGTATAAAATCGGAAATTTATTAAATAATGAAAATTGAGCCAATAAAAATACAACCAATTGGCATATGTAATTATAGCAAATCAGGTATATAAACAAAACCCTCTCAATAAAATCAAAATATAATCTGAAAAATTTAAAACTTATTCCTGGCTACGCGACTGTACATTTCCTAACTGGCAAGTAAGCGTAGAAAGGTGTTCTCTATACTCAAGTTTATTATAATTCTTAAAAATTTAGTTTTTATGTAAATTGTATATACAACAAGGCCATGTTTGGCTCTCCAAAAAAGTATCTTACTGAGAAAAAAAATTTAAGGGAAATAATTATGAAGAACCATTTACGTTCTGGCAGGCTGCACTTACTTGTTATGTTATGCATAAGAATATTAAGAAAAACTTGCTATTTAAACGTTCAAGGGGAAGTAAAAATATAGAAAAAAGCCCCCGATTAAATAAAAGGATTAATAGATTAAGTTTATTTAATGTTATCTTATGTTGTAGAGGAACCTGAAAAATAAATAATATACATATGATGATTACATAATTAGAAAGAGAAAATTTGAGTTAGCATATTAATTGGAAAGATAAAAATAATAAGAATTTTAAAAAAAAATGTTCTATAAGGCTAAATAATTCTAGGTAAAAAAAAGAAGGAAGCAGTGGCGCCACTAGGTGATGCTATTGGGGGCTCAAGCCTTGTTAAAATTTATAGAAAATTCAAATCTTAATTTTACAATTTTTAGATGCCCCTCCTCTCTTGTAAACTTATGTAATTGAAGGAATAATGATGCATAGCTTAAATGTTATTAAATTTTTATGGGTTTTATTAGAATATTAGATAGCGTTGTATTTTTATCCTTACATATATATAAAAATTTGATGATTTTAAGAAGCGTATGTGACAAATCGGTTTGGTTCTAGGTTAGAATCCATCAAGGGTCATATTTTTTCTTAGGCAAACTTGGTGGTTCCGTCCTGGGGGGGGGGTGATATATAGTAGATCGGACTCGACCACATGATTCCGTATATATATTAAAAATATCTTACGCATTTTAATTAATTTTAGTCGTTGTTTAGCAAGTGGTTTAATGTCATATATCATTACCCTAATTGTAGCACTTGATATCACTTCTTTCCATTAGTTCAAGTCAAAACAATTATCCTGACTTTAAGGACGAAATCCTTATTGAAAATTAAAGAATACAAAAGTCAAAATATGTTACATAATACAAAAATACTTATCATAAAAAAAAGATTTAAAACATTCATTAGGCTATATATGGGTACCCTAAAAATAATAATTACTAATATTTCTAATAATAATATTCTATCAAAAATAATTGGAAATTGGGGTAAATGTCATAGTTCTAGGTCAGGCCTCAACTATTTATTTTATTTTTCTTCTTTTCTTATCATTATATAGGAGGTAATCATTAAACTGTTTATTAATCATTATACTAGATCAAACCGATTTTATAGATCACATTCTTACTTTTTTCAAAGTTATCGTATAAATTAAGAGATAATCAATTTTTCTAATTAATCTTATGTAAATAATTCATTTAATTTCATTTTTTTACTGTCATATTTATAAAATATGATTTGATGATTATAATTTTGTAAAAGAATAATTATTATTCATATTTTGAGATTGATTGATGATATTTTTCTTTGATGATATTACAAAAATAATATTTAAAATTGATCGGGTTAGTTTAGTTTTAAACATTTAATTTGTTTTTCTCTTAGGTGTAGCCAGAATTTTGCCGGAAGGGGGGGGGGTACTATTAGTTTTTTTTCTCTATTAGGTTTATGTTAGAGTTTAGGCTTACCTATTGCACCTTTGCCTGTATTACATTTTAAAAAAAAAAAATTTTGGTTTTTATTTTTATTTAAATGTTTTTTTTCTATCTTAAAATTAAATTTACGAAAGCAGACAAATTTTCTAAGAGTTTGGTTTGCTAATAGACCTAACATATTTCAATGCATCCAATCTGTGGTCGGGAAGGCCGATAGAAATCATATATTTGTGAGAAAACCTATTGAGCGCATCTAAATAAATAGTAATTTTGGCTTCTTTTTTTTTTTAGCTAACAGTCTTATTTATAGAATGGTGAAAGAACATTCTAACTTGATAATTAGTTTTATAAAATAAGGTTGTTGAATTCTCTTGTTTATATTATAATTAGATCTTGAAGTTAAAATTCTGAAAATTGAATGAAATCAATTATTTAAAGATCCTCCATTATATTTAAAGAAAACTATTCTGTGGTCGGATTCGTGCGAATTACAAAATTGAAACGCTTTAATGTCCCATTTTAACTATATTTTATGAGAAATCATCCTTCAATTAAAAGTATTATAAAAATATTTTCTGAAGCAGGACGGGGCATTCAAAAATACAAATCGACAACTTACATAGTCAAATCGATATTATTTTTGATGTTTGATGATATCAAAATAAAAAAAATTTTTTTTACAGATCCATTCTAAAAGTGAAATTTACTGTTCTTTAGGCTTTTTGCGACTATTATACCATTAGTTGATAGATCAAATTTCCTTAAAGATTATTATGTAAAAAATAATGGTGAAAAAATTTAAAAATTGTTTCATTATCTTTTTACAAAAGTATTGAGTGTGTTATTAAATTAATTAAGAGATAAGTTTTAAATCGCGAAAATAAAAATCGCTAAAAATGGAGAATCTCGCTTATATCTCCTAGAAAATTTTTAAGTAAATTTGAAATTAATATTAATAGATACTGGGGAAATAAACACTTGTATTTAAATTGAGTTCTTTAAAAAATAGCTAAAAATGGACCATCTATTAATATTAATTTCGAGATTCTCAATTTTTAACGATTTAGAATGGGAACCTTAATTAATCATTTCAATTTTTTTTTTCATTGTAAACGATTCAAGACAATTCTCTTTTACGAATAAAAAAAAAGAAGTCTGCGTGGTTATGTTTGAGGACTGTGTCAAACTTATAAAAGTATAACTTGATGTAATGCGAATAAAATATATCATTTCAAAATCGAGAAATTTGTTGGGAGATAGAGATGGGAGGGGAAAAATTATTATTGATGAAGCAAAAATGATAATTGTATTGTAAATCAAATGACAATTGCATTTATGCGGTGACCTGGGAAGAACCGAACGGAACTTCTCTAACTGTTATACAAAAAATTTAAAAGGCGCGAACTAAACCATTATAAATTTTATATAATTTGATATTATTATTATGTATTCATTTAAATATTCGCACGCCAATGTAAATTTTATATTCCAAGTAAACTAAAAATCAAACATGAACAAATTGAACCTTTATTTGTCGTCAAAGCTAAACCGAACAGTGGATGCTTAATTTTAGCAATCGGAGCGTAACCGTTATACATAACGATTCGGGTTCCTATATTTATAATAACTTAAAAGCTCGGACCATAAATAAACAAAAATAAAAAATCTATTTAAAATTATAAGACAAAATTTAATTTAAATTAGTTTATAAAAGATTTATTTTTCTTAAGAAAAAACGATTGATCATCATATTAAATCTGAATAAACGTGTTTAAACTTTAGAAAGCATGTCCAGTTAAATTAAAATTCCAAGGCTTTTAAAAAATATAATGAAAATTCTAGTATAAAAAAATACTATTATATAAATTAAAAAAAATAGATATTTTCAAACTTGAATTCATTTTGACAAACTTTTATAATAAAATAAGGTTAATAAAACATTTTATTTTACAAAATGTCATTAATTTTCTTTATTTAAGATTTTAATTCTAAAAATAATATAATACTGCAAGCAACTGCAAGTTTATTTTTAAAACAGGACATGGATAATGTGTGTGAAATGACAAAAATGAAACATAAAATCAAAATCAATAAATTTAATTTTAAAACATTTTTAGAGGAGGGGGGGGGGGTGCTTTTTCCTTATGGGGTGCGTAAAAGTAATATATAAAGTCTAGGCAATTTTTTTGTTTAAAAAGGGCTAATAAATGTTTTATTACATTTTAAGTTTATCTACTATTTTTTAATAAATCTGGGGGGAGTGTCTATTAACCCTAATAAATAGCTTAAACAATTTCTTTTATTTTTTATATATACTTCTAGCCAACACCAAATTATAATAAATTATTTTTTTAAATTTGTTATTTAATATCCTTTTTTTAAAAAAATGGATTATTTATGATTAAATTTTGATTATAAAATCAGAGATCTGCAGGCCCGGCTCTAAGCCCGAGTACATGGGCCGGGTCTTATTTTAATTTTTTAGATATACCCGGGCTG